GGTTGATATTTATATTCGTGTCAGGGTTAATAAAATAAATAAAGTAATAAGCGTTAATTGATATTCTAATAAAGATCCATTTAGATCCGGGTAACTTGGATTGTTAGTACTATGATCGTAACAGCATTACTGTCTAATGTATTATTATTACTATCACTTGATCAACCTTCTTGTTTTCTGGGTCAACTGAGCTCTTTTACTATCTTTACATTATATGTAAACTTATCAGTCACTCAGCGTTCATAAGCGTTTACCCTTTAGCCTCATTAGGCGCATGTCAAACATTTCTTACAAGTCCTTGTGACACACACATAGAAACAACTATCATATAATACTTCTCATATAGTACTACAACATGTTGCTACACTCTGTGTGGTATGAAATGTTATTTGTATTATTAGTATAATTGTTTGGTATTATCATTTGTAATACTATTGTTGTTATGACGTCATATATCTGTGAATAATTATAGATTTCGAAGGTTTAAATGTTCATTTGTAATTTTTATAATTTATAGGTATATGCTTTTGATTTTTTGATTTGTACTCGTATATTATTTATCACAACGATTATGTTTGAAATCAAATAGTTTATGCTTCAAGTTACTTTTTTCTGATCCGTTCATGGAGAGTTCATGCATGTTGCACATCAAAATAACTTCTACACAATTATGACGATTCATCATGTTACATGCTAATCTATTATCAAATATCACACGGAATTGAGTTGATTGTGATAACAATAATTGAATTACAAATGAAAATGTCATGATTGAATTGCAATATGTATCGCTTTCACTAGCTATTGTTATTGATGAGCTGAGAAATTTCTTATTCCATTTAGGACTATCAGTTGTCTTAATTCGCTTAAAGGTCAATTACCACTCTTCGAAGTTCTCCTGTACCAACAGAGGACCTTTAGCCAGCCTTTTGAAAAGTACAGACTTTCGCGAAAGAGTGATTAATACGTTTTTCGCCATTATACAAAACAAATTCATTTAAGACAGGCATTGCATACTAGTAATGCATGTCATTCAAGCATTTAAAATCTTTTTTTTTCTTTTTTTTTAATTTATTTATTTATTTATTTATCTCTAAAATAGAGCCCATCCAAAATAAGTATGACACAACAATACTAAGTTCAATCAATATAATGCAATCAAGGCTAAAAAGGGCAACACAAACAATAATAACAGCACAGAGGGGCATCGCATAGACGGTAGTATTAACAACCATTAGAACACACGAACAAATTATAAAGAGCTTGGCTTTTAGCACCTAAGCAGAGTATCGCTGTTTGTACATCTGCAATGATTCTGTGTGGTTTTGCCGTTAAACAATTCATCATTCGTCTGTCATAACAAAGACGAAAATAACATCTGTGTAAACTATAGGACCTTGCTATGAATCATCACATTTTACCTTATTGCAAAGTCTACCTAGATAAATGACATTGCTAAAGATATATATACATGTTTTAAACATACAGGCGCGTTTGGGTATGTTTGAAATATAAAAAAATTAAGTGTTTTCTGTCTGATAATTTATATTTTTGATTCCTCACTAAATTATTGTTTTATATATGTCATGTTACTTTATAACATTATAAATAAATCAAATAGCTAATTGTTTTACGTTTAATGTTATTGATATATATATTTTTTTTGTTTTCACATTTAAAGATGTCTTAATATATTTGCTTTGACAGAGTTTTTTGTCTTTTCCACTATAAATTTACCACTTTAAAGAATTTGTTCATGAAATGTCTATAAAATATGATATGATATCAAATCATCTCATATGGCTGCGAGAATTCTGAAAAATAGGGATACGATAGGCATGATATTTTTCATTGAATGTCATTGATATTTACCATGTAAATGTTTTGTTATACGTTTACGAAAATAAATGGTCATTTTGTTAACTTATGAAACATTGTACCTTTTTATCTCACGAAAAATCGAAACATTGAATATTTTGCAAGCTTATAAAACATTTGACGATTAAATGATAATGATAAAATAGTTGGCCTTTTACTAACTAATTAAACATTGGACTTTTTGTTGAAAACTATTAAAATATTGAATCATTTGCTAACTGTAGTGAAGCATTGGACCTTTGGTTGCTTACTAGTAAAACGTTGGAACGTTTACTTAATGATAAATATTTGACTTTTTATTATCATCATAAAACATCGATCCTTTTACTTACTAATAAAAAATTGCATCTTTTACCTTCTTATCAAGGATTGGACCTTTCACTTACTAATAAACAATTTGACCCGTTACTTAGTAATTAAAGGTCGGACTTTTTACTAACTTATAAAACATTGGACCTTATACTTATTAATAAAGATCGGGCCTTTAACTTACTAATAAAAAAAAATTCATCCTTTTCCTTACTAATGAACAGTTTGACATTTTGCTAACTGACATTTTACTAGCTTTCTACAATGAAATATTTGATATTGTGTTAAATATAATAAAACATTGGACCTTTTGCTAAGTATATTGTATGTTAATTTTAAAGAAATATAAGACATTTCGCTTACTATAAGAAAACATTGGACCTTTAGCTAACTTTAATAAAACATTAAATTTTTTGCTGGCAATTAAACAACATTCGGCAATTTCTGTTAGAAATATTTGACACTTTACTATAATTAAAGTAATATAAAACGTTGAACCTTTTGGCAAACAAAAACTCATTGACCCTTTGTAAACTATAAAAGCACATTGGACTTTAAATGAGGTTTGTTCTTTTTCATGAACTATTTTATATTACTTGGTTTTTTTATTAATTTAAAATATAGTTACTACTATACCTACTCTTTATTGTGTGTATGTTATTTTTGTTTTGTTGAGAAGCTACTTAAAAAAAACTCTGAAAAATATTTGTCGCAAGTTACGTATATTTGGTATATGTCATACTGACGTGTACACATCACATCCATTCACGATCGTAAAAGGATGGTCGTTTAATTTACACTATCTTTCTCAGGGGTAATTATAAATGATAGTTTTTGCTAAAAATCTACTTGTTTGAAGTATTGTTTCTATTTATAACTTTGAAACTAAGCGGCAAACAATGTTAAGTGTTTATGGCGGTAACCCTTCTGGTCAAAACAGTCATTTTTAATTAAAAGGAACATTATGTTTTCATTAATAGAGAAAAATTCAAACGCATGAATGAAATAGTATACGCTACATTAACGCTTTCGTGACATTTTGTCATAGATTGTAAGAAGATATAAAATCAAACGAACATTCATTTTATGATATGATATAAGAGGTTATAAAGCATATTGCTGAATTTGCCCCCTGGTTAACTGTTACTATTTTAAGATCATGTCTGTCTATAAACTATAATATTAAAAAGGCATATTTGGTATTATAGTTGACAGGGCAAACCCGATTGACAAACGCATCTTAAATACCCTTTTGTAGTTCATATACTTCTTTTGACAGAAGAGAAAAGGATAAGACTTCTATTTACTTCTTAAGTACCGATTTTCCGTATCTTCATATAAATATTGTACCAGATCCAGCATACAAAATATTTGCACTAAGTTATTGTGATTTATAGTTATAGGTGCCAATGACTTCAAAGTCTTTAGGCAATTAATAAAACAGCGTTTTTGACAATAAGTTAAAGTACCTGTACGTTCACTCAATAACGACGTATCTTGCAATTAATGATGTTATAATTATACTTTTACAAGTACGCATAAACTTGTATTAACATGAAAGAAACCAGCATTTTCATGCTCTTGCATCTAAATTTAACGTGGTCTATATTAGTCTCAAAATAATTGCCTTGAAACAGTGTTCCTCTTTTATAATTTGGTGATATCATGCAATACATATTTGTGTTGCAAGAACTATAATTATCCTTAAATACTTCATTTATGTATGACTCACTCAAAAGCTGCCTACACCAATAATTGTTCTACGTTGTAAAATACAAAAAGAGGGTTTCATCTCGGATTGAAAATACTGCTTTTACATAATGATTCTTGTTGACGTTTTTATTTTAATTTATTTGTATTTTCTATTTTTTTATTTTTTTATTTTGGAATAAAGGGTTTTTAAATCATTATTTGCCAACAGTTTCATACCATGTTGAATGTAGAAAAAGTATCAGTATCTAAACAATAGATGTTTACTTTTAATGTTCACTTAAGTAGAAATGCCTGTAGCATTTCTTGAAGTTAATTGATTTATCAAATATTATTTCAAAATGTTATTTGGCATTCTAATCTTTTTTGCAATAAAACGAATATAACATTCTCTACAGTAATATAATTTTACAAATAACGCATAGTAAATGTATTTATATCTCACATTTTTATACATTCTGTACAAGAAAAAGTCTTGAAAAATGGAAGAGAACAAAAAGCCTTAACAAGTTTGTATATCGATAGTTTTACACTTGTTGTAACTAACAGACTTCCAGAAACAAATATAGGTACACGTTGAACGTTCTACGAATAGCTAGTTTATAGAAATAATCCTATATTTATTTAAAAACCCTATAAAATCCCGTAAACATATCTGCGATCTTCAGTATTTCCTTAAATTTAGTCTATCAGAGAAATTGTCAGATCTTCTTATCTAATATTTACAATTACTCTGACCCAGCACTGTAATTATGTAAACAATAAAGCTAAAGTATTGACAAGTGTCAATTCTGTTTTTTCTCCATTAAAGAGCTCTTAATTGCTTTCAGTAACATTGTATTTAACAAAGTCAAGTAATCTATATAAAACTATCATAAGACTCCAGTCTGTAACGGAAACCTTCAAAAGTAGATAGTGTGAGATGCGAAACAGAATAAAAAGCTTCTTTTATGTAAACCCAAAGATAATTTACCTTGCCTGAATGGGAATAACAAAATGTTATTTTGTAACTTGAATTTTGCAATTAAGTGGTTTGCCCTTTCGTTTACTTGCCTTTTTTAATGTAACATTGGAAGAAACACTTATATATCAAATGTACTTACCGACAGGTTTTCACCTCCAAAGCTCCAAGAAAAACACATGTGCCACCATTTAAACAATAGTGTCTGTCAACATAATCACAGGGGGAAGTGTGAGCACCAAATACAACCTCTGTATCGTCATTTTCAAAAGCAGACTCAAGCCCAAATCCAAAATCCGAGAAAAACGACCGCCGGCGTCGGTAATTCCGAAGTCCGGGAAGCCATCGGTCCACTTTTGATTTTGCCGGTGCCGGCATTTTGATAGTGTCTACACCAAATGTTTCCTCAGATTTTTTGCTAACGCCTGTATATTTAGTAACCGACGCTGGCTTTGCCAATGCAACTACAGGCATTGCCGTAAAATTATTTTGCATCTTTTGATTTGTTTTACTATCACCTAATATAACATCGGCATTGTCGATGATCGTCTCGTGATATCTTCTTTTATTCTTTAAATAATATTTTAACATATTTGCTATAGTTTTCTCTGTGAAACCACGGATTGTCCGAAATACCTTTTCAATTTTTGGATTGAAAGTATTTCTTTTTTTAAATTTAGCACCAATTATCTCCAACACGTAGTTATCTTCATTTTTGTCCTCCTGTTCAATAGCCTCCGCTTTATTCCTAACCTCGCTGATTATTTCTTTAATCATCAAGTTTTCCTTTTTATTTCCACTCCGTAAATTACGGTCATTAATCTGTGGAAAGCCTTCACTAAATGCTAAGAGAACCGAAATCAAAAGAAAACCAAGCATTTGCTGTAAAATTTTACCCATTTTACAATCATTTTGAAAGTTTAAATTCACTCTGACATTTTACAGTTTTAACGTTCATTATTTCGTTCTTCAAAGATTGTTGAAAACGACCTGTAGCACAATTCTCTTTAAGTGACCGGTTGGTATGAAATTTTCAATGTTTATATCCAATTTTATATTTCTAACAGTTGTCACTCTGAAAAAAAATCCAATAGTTATGATTTCCAATTTTCGCGCATTAAAGTCTTCTTATATGCTTTAATAATAAATATTTAGAAAAAAAATTAATTTTGTTTATTTTTATTTATTTATCTTAATTAATTTCGTTTAATTTAATCCTAATATTGTCAGTTCCATTGCCTCTTGTTGTATTATGACATGAAGTGAGAAATACTATAATCGACAATCAACGTTGCGAGACCTTTTTTCCTAACAACAGCAGAAATGTTTCTCTCTGCTCTTTTATACTGATCCGTTTCCAATTATAGCTACTATTTTCCCATTTTAATAACGATTTCTATTTTGCCATATTTATATATATATATATTTACTATATCAACATTTGAGAGTCAAGTACTTAATACGATAAAGCAAAACCTCATTCTGTATGACTTCCGAATCGCTCGAATAATTGTACCAACTAAAAACAAAAAAAGAGTAGATAATTAAATGCCTCCCGTACGAAAAACCACTAAGATTTAATCATAAAAGCACGCGCTCAAACAGCGAGCGTACATATTTACTTTTTGTTGCATAGCTTTTATCACGCTGCTTTGAGAGTATATCATAACCGAAATGCTAGATGTTTGAAACAATGGAAACATTGTTAAATGCTAGTATAACTCTCAATATATCATCTGCTTTGACTCGAACGTTTTTTGTAGTTGTTTTTTAGAGTAAAAAACAACATTTTCACTGAAAGAATGAGATAGCTGTTTCGCCATTTTTGTTCTGTCAAAACATCTTCAAGAATAATTATTAACTGACTAAACGATTCTTTATTCCAGTAGCTGGATATCTTCGTCGAAAGTCTCTATTTTATTTTTTTAATCGAATTATCTCATAGAATTCACGATATATTATTAATTTTAAATTATTTATTCAGAAAAGTTATATGTAACGACTTTTTGATGAACTTAAGTTTATTTCTTAGCAACCCATGTTATATACATGTACGTATCCGCTTTATTTCTATGTTTTAACGTATCTTTTTATTGTATAATTTGTTTTGTTTTAGTATGGTACTGTGCTCTTCGTCAGAGTGTAGACAAATGACAAAATTCTATATAAAAAACTACATAGTTTCGCAGAAATTATGATTACGTTTAGTTGAGATGAAAATTCATTGTAAAATTTGATTAATATCATTGCATGCAATTATACAGTGTTTTATCCTGTAGTGTTTCATAGAATCACCGTTAATAGAGTAAAACAGGTCAAAACCATTTCTACACATATATTCCATTGGCTGGTATTTGAAATGCATTTTTCCATGTACTTATCAGTAAAAGATGCGGATATCAAAAATTTATAAGCGTCATAAATGAACTTGTTCGTCATATCCTACCATATAAACAAACAAATCTAACTTCCGAATATGTGGTGTATTCATGACTATAAAACATCCGTTTAGTTTCAAATCATAGGGGGAATATGCTTTTTGACGTATGCAAATCTAAACCAGTTATATTTTTTCAAATGCTCAAGGATTCTTTACCTATGACGAAGAGATAATTTCAAAATATATTTTGATATTTTTTTATATTTCATAAGGAATTACATACTTTTTGTATTAGTAAGTCTCAAATACAGAAGAACAAAAACAGACAAATGAAAAAAGAAAGAACTTTATCCCTTGGTCACATACAAACAAATGGAGAAAGAAACGTGTGGGAAAGAGATTTTATCTCGCGCCCATGTAGAAAAGTACAGAGAAGACATTAGACAAAATACAAAATATTATCTCGTTGCAACGTACAGAAGCACGAATAGATTATGTGATAAAACAATGCAATAGTATTGCGTGGCCATGTTCGGAGAGGGCACCTGAGGCAAAGCAACATAATTATTGTTTCTTTGTTAGCTACAGGGCAGGGAGAGGATATGTGGGGGGGGACAATATTATCTCGTTCACATGCACAAAAGCATTTACAACTAACATTCACGAACAGCAACTCTTTACAAATCTTCCGTGTTTGGCGTTCCTTAAGGTTTCCATTTTATTTATTCTAAATCGTTACTTTATCTTTCACTACACGTTGTGGGTATGAATAAAGAAGATGAATTCTACCGCAGGCAAGTTGATATTGCACGGACTTGATCCTTTACCTATTCATTACAGTACCATGCAAGTGTAATTGCAAGACACGGTACACATTAAATTGTATTGATTTGCAAAATATATGGTACAACAATTTCAATTGCCACTGTGATCTCACTATTATTACAAGCAGTTAAATTGGGGTGGGGGTATAACAGGTCTGCGTTACAACTTATAAAATTATAAACATGTATATGTCTTTGGTTGTCAAAATGAGAAATGTGTTTAACAATAAAATGTAGATCGCATTCCATTATTCAAACGGTTTTGCACTGAATAAATCGGGTATCAATCTTTTTCTAAATTACTTTTTAATACTTTTTAAGTGACATTTTAAGTTTCAGTTCTTATTAATGAATATTGATGAAGATAGTACGTTGTTGTATAGAATTTGTCTGTTTTCATATCTTTTCGTTATTTGTTTTTATTTATGTTGATGTTTTTTTTGGGGGGGGGTTTGTAGTTTTATTGTCATGTTTTTGATATTTTCATTTTTTTCTTAATTTAACGTTTTCTTTTATTATTATTTATTGGCTTTTGGCTTTTGGTAAACTGAACATTTCTGATATACATGCATACAAACATAAATCGGAATAATTCTTTTGAAATCTAACGCTCATTTTATATTATATTTATTATTTGACTGAAGCTATGATATCGTTTTAGTAATACAATCCCTTTGAGATCCGTTGGAATCTTTTCATGGCGTTTCTTTTCATTTTAGATAATTTGCATAAATATATAACACCGCATGGTATAAAATATCTATGACATTCGTTTTTTTTTTGTTCAAATTAGCTTGTTTTGAAAGCAAAGAGTGCGGTATTGTATAGTCAACAAAGGTAAAAGTTTATAATTTTATATGTCCATTATAAAAGTCATTAAATTTTCAAATAGTTCTGTAATGAAACCAACAACCAGTGATATCATCAGAAATTAAGTCGAATAACCCTTCCTTCTAAAAATAAATATATAAAATAAAACAATTTCAACATTTCGGGTATGATTGAACGGAGTGTTATGTCTGTCACTCTTGATTTAGTTCTTGCCATTTAAAAAAAGAATATCCCATCGATTTGATTAATGAAAAACCCTTAACGAATTGACATAAATGGCGTGAATTGAATCGACTTTTAATTACTCATGCAGTCATATTCATCATCCGCCTACTTTTGCATACAAAGCCTCATGGGAAACCTTAAACCAAGTATTGTCATTGATTTCATTATGGTTATGTTACTTATTAATGCAATCGCATTTTCTGTCAGATAAAAAAGGATATGGATTCAACTACATTGTATACACAATTAGACTGAGCGCATGAAATATTGTCTGTAAAATACATTCCAACATCAACCCCCGCCAAATCGTTCGAAACACTGTTATGATGACAGGTTTTGCCAACTAATGACTTGGTTCTTTTGAGGGGAATGTAATAGTGTTTACTATCATATTATGTTGCAATTAACGTAAATTTTATAATCTGTGATATAGTGTAATAAGCGACCCTGATCTCTTTGCTCTTTTATCATTAAATGACAAAAAAAGACAATTAAATGACTCAGCGGTAAGGAAATTATTCATGTAATATTTCCAATGGACACAGAGGTATAAGTAAAAACGTTGAATATGTTTTACGTATAATAGGTTTTATGATTGATTGATTGGGTTTTACGTCACACCGACACAGTAAATATCATTTGGCGACGTTCCAGTTTTACTGGTGGAGGAAGACCTTAGGTGCCCTTCCTTGCATTATTGCAGGTACGAACAGGCACCTGAGTAGAACCACCGACCTTCCGTAAGCTATCTGGATAGCTTCCTTACATGAAAGAATCCAAAGTCCCTGTCGGGATTCGAAATCACAGCGATGAGGGGCAAGTGGTTTGAAGTCAACGACCTTATCCACTCGGCCTCGGACGCCCCCACGTATAATAGGTGTTTATTTATTAAATATAATAGAAAAACATGTGTAAACAAGATTCATCTATATATATAGTATATAAAACATAATGTCTCGCTACTTACTTGAATATCTCATTACAAGTAAAAGACATTCTTAAATATGAAACAGCCACATTTGCATTGGGTTTAATCTAAATATCAACAGAACTAAATAGAAAGTCAGCAGTAACATTTCTTAAAAGATATCCAATTACATTCACATATTAATACTGACCTGAAAGTACTTCAATTTTACATAAAAAAATACAAATATAACACCAATAGTTAATATATAATAAAATATGTTTAAAGTATATCAGTTAAATGTCAATCCACTGACGTAGGAAATATTAGATTAATTTCTTTATAAATATTTTATATTTATATTTATACATCATATGATAATATCCATATCAGAATCATGTGTAACACGAACTGTATATTAATTAACAAAAACATCAGAAAAGTGTAGCGGGTATTTACATGTGAACATAATTGGATTTTTTTCGAACAGGCCTCATACCGCTATTGTTTTTGTCAGTAAAAGAACAAACTGATGATGATAGACACACGTATTTAACGCTCTGGTAAGTAAAGTACATTATCTAAATGTCTTTTTGTAATTTATTTCAGAAAGATACGAATTGTATATAACAGTGATATCAGTTACAATCTACTTCTGTCAATTTAATGAATTTTGTGTCAAGTACATAAATTTTAAAGATATGCTATGCTCATCCTTGATACGGTGGTTCTACTCAGGTGCCCGTTCGTGCCTGAAATAATAAACGGAAGGGCATTTGAGGTCTTTCTCCACAAGTAAAGCTGGAACGTCGCCATATGAACTATATTGTGCTGCCCAATTAAACAAACAAAAATAAAAAATGCTAATCCTTGAGTAAAATATTTCAATCATGGACATTTTTTGAAATCTATAAAATTCTTAATGAATATTTATAATTGGAAATAAAGAATGAATAAAGTATGTATTGGAAACTGCGTTCTCTATTACGGGTCAAGCAAAGTTGGTCTTTCCTTGACAAACCTACAAGATTTTTTATGACACCATATATTCATATTGTGACCACCCATATTGTGTAGAGGTTAAGCATACGTCAAAATACGTTTTTTTACATTTACAAAGAGGCTGTGTAGCAATTATCACTATTTTCTAATATCAAATTTGAGTATTGTATATATTTAAGAATTTGTTTATTTTTTTGTTTCTTTTTGTTTTGTTTGGAGGGAGGATGTTTTAGTACGGCTTTGGTTTTGTTTTGTATTTTGTAAATATTTGTTTTCTTTTATAAATTGCATAACATTTGTTTTGCAATGAATACATTATTTTGTTTTAAAAGCTTGTATAGGCGGTCATCATGTTTCGATCGCTGTTATTGAACAGATCAACCTCGCTTATTGCAACTAAATTGTTTTCGAAACATGTTAATAAATGTCATAAGAATTTTAAAAAGG